AGGCAGCATTTGAACTCCAGCCTTCCTGACTCAGAAGGCCTCCCTCTCTCCATTATCTGTGCTGCCACTCAGACCCGAAGTTAAAGGAAAGAAAATAGATGTCGCTTGAAAAAGGCATTCCAGGTAGTCATTTGGCTTCAGGGCAAATAGAAGCTCTGTTAGCTTAATGTTTGCCAAGGAGAGGCAGCAGTAAAATGGGGTAGGGCTTTGGACTTGGAGATGGCAAGCCCTGGCTTTGAATCCCACTTTGGAAACTATATGATCCCTGGTCAAATCATTTAAGCCTCTTAGTGCCCCAGGCAACTTTGGAAGACTATATAAGTTGCAGAAAAGGTGCTGGTCCATGTGGGTAGAGGAAGTTTTCTTACCAGGATTTCCACACAGTAATGAAATCACAGGTCTGGACCCCTCAAAAATATTAAAAACTTCTTAGCATCAGTTGGCTAGTTAGCTATGCCATATGTTTCACAATGCTTGCTGTCTACATTGTGGTGTTACTTGTTCTTATGGCATCCTGTTAGGATGCTCCTCTTGGCTCATAGCTACCCTGGGATTTTCTATTTTTTGCTGTGTTAACAGTTTTATTAGCTCCTCTCACTGACCTTCCATTTGACTGAAGGGAAGTCAAAGTCCTTTTAGACCATCCTAGAGCACCAGGAGGGGAAATGCTGAGATAGAAAGTCTGAGAAAGGAAGACAGGAATTGGAATGTCTTTGGTTTTCCCTGGGATTGCCGTACATTTCTGGCAGGCTGAGGATGTCATAGAAATTTCTGACTGTGGCGGCAGGCTTCATAATTTAAATTTTCTTATTTATCTATGCTCTGATGATGTTGAACTTATTGACAAGAAGGGAAATGTTTCTTAAAACACTATAGAAACGTGAGTCATTTTGATTAAATTCCTTAAGGACAACTTCAGCAGAAAAAAGCCACTCCAGTGATGCTGGTGGGTTTGGATTTCACCTCTTACACTTATTATCTGTGTGACCTTGTACAAGTCTTTTAACCTTCCTGAGCCACAGTTTCCTCATCTGTAAAAGGGGGGGCATTAGATTAGATGGCATCTGAGGTCATAGAATGAGATCTAGAACTAGAAAGGACCTCAGAGGTCATCTACTCCACCTTCTCCATCATTTTGTAGATGTCAGGAGCCTGAGGCAAAATTGATTAAATGGCTTTGCCTAATGGGGTCCTACAGGAAGAAAGTGGTAGAGTAAGGATTTGAACCTGGGTCCTCTGACCTCAATCCAGAGCTCTTTTCTACTGTACAATCCCTTTTCTATTAGGGCTTTTTGGAGTCTAGCACTCTTAGCTTTGGGTTGCCTGTTTTCTCTTCTCAGTCTTTCATCATAAGATATAAGATCTAAACTCAACGTGCTACTTCAGTTCTGCGTTCTTGGTTGTCTGATCTTTTATTATTGTTTGGTCATCTTCTGGAGCTTTGTTCTCACTAACTGAGTCTACTGGCGCTTTCAGAAAAGTCCGGATCCCTGTTGAGGCCAGCCCACATTTCCTTTTTCTGTGGAAAGACTGTACTTCTGGGAGGCAGAGACCCTTTGGCATCTTCTTCAGAGGATTTTTAAGATCTGAAGTTTATATTCGCCTGAAGATGAATAGCTCTGCCTGTGCTCTTCGGGGCTTCCAACCTTTCCTCCTGCTTTTGCCCTTTCTTATTCTCCTAGACAAGCACCAGTTTGATGTGGTTATTTCTTTGTAATTCCAGTGACAACTGAGTCTCCTCAGGCTGTCGGAAAGGTATGCAGCTGCCTTTTGGAAGCAAGAAACAATAATAATAACTACATTTTGTATGGCACTCTAAGATTTGCAAAATACTTTACATACATACATACATAATTTGATTCCTACAACAATTGTGTTAGGTCAATCTCTATTTTATAGTTGAGGAGGCTCAGAGAATTTAAATGTTTTGCCAAGGGCCATACTGCTTCTAGTAAGTGACTCAGGAAGAATTTGAACCCAGGCATTCCTCACTTGAAGGCCAACACTCTATCCACTACCCCCTCCCCCTGCCTCTACTGCCTCTTTGTATTTCCTGTCATAGTGGAAAGAGGGTCAGGCTTGGAGTCTAGAACAGCTGGGTTCAAGTCCTACCTCAAGTTGTACCTACCTTGGGTGCTAGTAGAAAACATATTTAACTTCCAAGGGTCCATGGCAACTCCTTGAGACTGCAGAGGTGGAAGGTGTTTCCAGACTGGGAGTTCCTAAAACAAGTGAAACAATAGGCCCAGATTCCACCTTCCATTCCTCCAGTCTCCTGATCCAAATAATAACTTTGCTGTTTAATTGAGGTACAATCATGTCAAAAGCTGAATAGTAGGGCTTGGGCATACAAATGCAGATGGTAATGTTCATGTGTTTATATGTAGTTGGTCGATTTCCTCAAGGACTGTAACAATAATAACCAGCATTTATAAAGCACTTTGAGGTTTGCAAAGTACTTTACAAATATTATCATGTTTGATCCTCACAACTGCTGTTATCATCTCCATATTAGGGCTGAGGAAATCAAGGCAGACAGAAATTAAACGACTGGCCCAGAGTCATACAACTAGTAAGTGTCTGAAGTCACATTTGAACTCAGGTTTTCCTGACTCCAGGTCTAGTGCTTCATCTAGTGAGCTGCTTAGCTGTTAACACTGAGGCCTGGCCGAAACCTCTGCTAGTCATTCAAACTCTGACAGATTGAGGGACCCTTCCATCACTTCTATAAACATTGGGTTGGGTGGGCAACATAGGTGGGGGCAGTTTGCCTGTGCACCACATGGGGGAGAGAAGACAGGAACTCTCAGCCAGCGCTCCCCCCAAGTCTCCTATCCCCATTGCCCCAGCCCAGGGAGCAGGCTGGCTCTGCCAGCAGCAGGGCTTAAGGAATGTGCTCTGACCCCTGTGGGGTCCACCTAAGGATGGAATGGACTCCCAGTACGCCCACTTCCACTCGGGGTCTTCAGATGTCATCTGTTTCAACCCCTTGTTTTACAGATGAGGACAATGAGGCTTAAAGGGGTTGAATGACTTGTCCAAGGTCACATAGGCAGTAAGAGGCAGAACCACTTCCCTTAACTTCAAAAATAAAGTGTTCTTTCCATTATATCAAGTTCCCTCCTCTAATATATAAAGACCCTCTTACCATATTCATTCCTGGGCAGGGAACCCTGGGCAGTTAGGTGGTGGGAGGCCTAGAGTCAGGAGGACTCATCTTCCCCAGTTCAAATCTGGCCTCCAACACTTATGAGCTGTGTGACCCTGGGTGAGTCACTTAATCCTATCTGCCTCTGTTTGCTCATCTGTTAAATGAGCTAGAGAAGGCAATACCAAACCACTGCAGAATCTTTGCCAAGAAAACCCCAAATGGGGTCACGAGGAGTCTGAAAGACTGAACAACAATAACAACAGGGAATCATTCTCATCTGAACTGAGGGAAAATTAGAATTTTTCACATCAGAACCAGGGAACACGGCAGAAGAGGCCAGAAAGGGCTAGCAGGGTGGTGGCTTCTGGGAGTCATTAGGCAGTCAAGTAGGCAGAGGCTGACACGATTATGCCCTCTTAACAGACAAGGTCAGTCATGGAGTAAGTATGCCAGTAACTTGCCAGAGCCACAGAGATGGCAAATTCAGGCTTACAAACAGAGCCACAAGCTTAGTCTACATTGTCTGTCTTCTTTCTTGCTCAAGCCTATAGGATGCAATGCCACTATGTAGGGTCAGAAGGGTGAGTCTAACTGTTTGCCTTTGGGACTCTCCAGCTGGGCAAACTCAGGTTCTGATAAGCATAAGATCCAGAGGAAACCTGAAGTGGACAGGGAAAGAAGAGGGTAAAGAAAGAGCACAGAGACAGGCTGGTGGGTCTTGGGAGGAAGAAGGAGTGGTACTTTGGGGTGAGGTTGGTGGTGGTGGTGGGGTTGGAGAGAATTATGGGAAGAAATGACTTAAATGAACAGGATAGAAACTAGTGAGAGGCCTCTCCCAATAGTACATTCAGAGGAGTAGCCGAGGCTCATTTTTCAGACCAAAGCAGCCCATATAATTACAGGATTTGTTTTTTGGTTTTGGTCTAGATCTATGATTTCATTGGGGTAGGGAACATCCAGAAAGGAACTTCCCTCTACCCATGCAGATTGGCACCTCCTTTGTAATAGAGAACCTGAGAGTTGTGTGGGGGCACCGAAGAGTCACACAGCTGGTGTGTGTGTGTGTGTGTGTGTGTGTGTGTGTGTGTATATATATATATATATATATATATACACACACACACACACACACACATATATATACATACATATGCATATACATACATATATACATATACATACATATATACATATACATACATATATATACATATATATATATACATATATATATATGAGAGTTGGGACTCAAATCCTAGTTTTTCCAATTCCAAGGGTGGCTCTTTATCCACTATACACATTGCCTCTCAATTGGAGTTAAAATAAACAGCAAACATCTGTCTTCTCCCTTATTGTGACGCAGATGAAAGAGCCCTGGAGTTAGCATCAGAAGACTTGAGACTGAGTCTCAGTTCCATCAGGTGCTCATAACTGCCTGAGCCGGCTAAGTTGCTTGTGGTCATAATGTGGAGGTGGTGATTCCTGGTTGGCCCATTTCCCATGGCTATTGTGAAGGAAGCTTGGCAGGCATAAACTGTGATTAGTACAGAAGATCTAAAGCGATCAGCTCCAAGGTCCTCCTAACTTCTGAAACACTTCAGTAGAAAAAATCAAGATCGGCAACTAATCATCCAGATGATGAAAGCATTAAAGACTTTAACTCCATCTCTAGGTTGCAGATCCCAGAGTATTTTTAAGAGTTCCAGAGCAGAATGGAAATAACCATGGACTCGTGTACAGAGACATCACTCCCCTAGGCTTGTCAGTCAGTGTGTTCTGCGAATGGGCTAAGCCCCTTACTTCTCCCCTCCTACCCCTGTTTGAAACACAGGACATGATCAGGCACCGGTAGGTTTTCGGTAGGTTTTTATTGAAATGTATTACATTAGCAAACCCAAACCCACAGGTATACACCTGTCAGCATATACCACAGAATGTCACTACTGTATACTGACATCAAAACATGTGCACCGAGTTTTGCTGCTGTCAAGCTGCGTTTCCCGAGGGCTCCCACAACTTTCTTGCAGGTGCCATCTCAATATAAGGCAATGCCCTTCTTGTTTTATCCAGTTATCAACCTGACATATTTAGTCTAGGATGCCCATTATTCCTGTCTTCACCTATTCTGGAGTAAATACGGCTTCAAATGCATAGAATCTTGATTCTCATCTCTTAGGACAAAGTCAACAGGCTGCTTTCCATGTTGAAGATTATCAGAAAGACTCCTGTCTGCCTCCTAAGAGTTTCCTGTGCTATTGTAGAAAAATATTTTTGTCTCTCACCCTCTTAGACTTTGTGCATAGTTATCGGTGACCTAGGGCAGCAGGTCTTTTCTGACCCAAAGCCCCCAGTAGGTGGATTTAATATCTCACATGCATCCTGATGGCCGGGGGTTCATCATGGCATGACATTGGGGCACTTCAGATGTGAGCTCATCCCAATGAACTTGTGGTTACCATTTCCAAAGTTGTCAGTGGGAATTTTTTTTTCTACTTTGGGCAGTAGCTCTTTCCACCTTTTTACATCACTAATATTTTCTTTGTGGCATCATTTTCCCCCCCCTATTCTGTCTCTCTCTGCCTCCGTCTCTACCCACCCCGCCTTAGCTGGAGCCGTGACCACTCTACACCTAAGGTAATGTTCTGAGACTCAAACTAACCAAAATTCGTGCAGGGTAGCCCCATTCCCTGAAAATCAGGTTCCTTCCCCTAAAGAACATCTTAGAAGCTAGAGTTGAAGCTACCGCCAAAACTTGCCAGTGGTAGGTGGCCAGATGGAAGCTCGCTCTTACCTACTCTTTCTAGCCCAACAGCCCACAACATAGCCCTTCAGCCTCATCTACCCCGCACCAAAGGCAGAGCTAGGCACTGGATCACGATGGTGCATCAATCTTGAGTGTGTAGTATTTGCTTGTGTCTAGGCTATAAAAGGATGCTTGCTTAGTAGAAAGAAAGGATTCTGCCATTTGGGAGTCTACTTGGTGGCACGTCTGTGGTGTCTCCTGGGCCAAATTGTTCAGCCACTGGTAACGTCCTGGTGCGGCGCATGCTGACTTCCTCCAGGCCTAAATGAAAGTCAGAGGAAGGAGGTGGCCAGTGCAGAAAGCAGGGAAAGCAGAAAGAGCTCTTGCATCCTGTTAATTATGTAAAAATAGCTCTTGAGAATTCACTAAAACTGTCTCTGGCTCCCAAGCAGCTGATTTAGAAAGAAAGCTGGGGTTTAGAAAAGATGATCATAAAAGTCTTTAGGAGCTGGTGAATGGCCTTGCTGAGCTTGAGACAAAGCTAATTAAGTCCCACCAAGGTCATTGATCCTTCCTTTCCTGACACACACACTCTTGCCTAGCAAGCAAAGCGGTGCATTGATCAGGACTGTGTCAGCTTGTACTGCGCCAGCATTCTGATCTGAGAGCACAGCAAGCCATGTCCATAAGGAAATTGTGGTCTGGAGAATTCTGGTCAAATGGAAGCTTTTTTTCCCCTCTCTCTCTACAAAGGTCCTGGCCCTGTTTTAAACGTTCCCTAATATCATCCCTGGATACAGAATGAAAAGGGTGTGTGTGTGGGGGGATTGATTATGAAAGCAAAGCCCCCACAAAAAATTCCTCATAGCTCATTTGTACAAAAGCAGAGGAGAATCTGCCCCTCGTGCTACTCTCGGTCTGAGGAAGAGACCTTTGGTTTTTCTCAGAGATTCATGTATTCATGCTTTTAACTCATCCCTATGTTGGGTGCAGAGAAACATGAGGACCTGAGCCATACAGGATGTATTCACAAATCAGATTAGTAATGACTTGGAATGAGAATCAGCGCAATACTGTTCAACGTTGTGAAGGCTTATCAGATGAAAAGAAATACTTTCCCTCAGTCCCAGATCACAGAATGAGGGCTGGTGTTCCAAAGGGGAAAGGCAGGAAGGGGCACTCAGTGTCTGGGGACAGTATACACTGCCAACAGCAGAGACTGGTGGAAGCTCCATGTAGAAACTGCTTGATTTAGTTGTGGCACACGGTCAGCAAAAGACCTGCTGCCAGAACCAGCTGGTTTTCTCTCCTGGAGAACTAGATGCCACTGTAGGTGCCTGAAACTACCAGGAGGCACCTGAAGGAAAATGGTGCTCCTTTCTGAACCTCTTGGGAAACGTGGGGATTTGCAGAGGGTGCCATGCCAAAGATTTATTGCCACCTCAGGAAAATATGATTCCCCAAAGGAAAGTGTCTAGGTCAGACTACAGAAAGATGGCTTTCTTGAATTGACTTGTCTTTCTACCTCCCCTTTTCCAGAGCATCTCATCAACCTCTTCCTAATGCAAGGATGGCTGACCTCACATGGGGGGGATGTAGTAAGGCCAAAGAAGTTAAGTGACATGCCACATGGCAAGTCAATGGCAAAGACACGAGGACAGAACCTAAGATTACTGAGTAAGCTACATATCCATGCACAGACTCTTGAGAATTTGGTGGATTTCACTTTCCTCTCTCCTTTTTGCTGCTTCACAAATCAGGAAAATTCCATTCCACGAATGCAGATATAGATCTTCCCTTTCTCTCCCCCCACCTCATTTTGTTTTGGTCTTTATTCTATTGTCATTTTGCCCACAATGCCCAGTGTAACCTTTTCAGTTCCCTGGAGAGGCAGTATGTGTAGTGGAGAGCACCCTGGACTTGGGGTCAGGGGATATTGGTTCAAATCCCAGGTCTGACACTCACTGCCATCTGGCCTTGGCCAAATCACTTTTTTTCCCCTCCCCCTGTGGATAACAATGCTTCTAAGTACTTCACTTTGAGGAGAAAAGTGCTTTGAAAGCTTAAAAGCACTGTCATCATGTGATTTATTATTACTTGTTATCTAGGAAATTGGTCCTAACCTCACTCATATTACTCAACATTCAACAAGCATTCATTAAGCATTTACTATTTGCAGTACGCTATGCAATCACTGAACATCACAGGAATGTTTATGGTCTAACAAGCACTTTCCAGCTTCTCTTCCACAGACTTTCTCATGGAGGTGTACCTGACCTGTTCAAGAGCTAGGTGATTTTAAGATACTGAGTAAATAGGTCAGTAGAAATGAAGGGGAAAAACTTCACTCTCAAGGCAGTCAATGTCCACATCATCAGAAAGTGGAAGGCCTTTGTCTTTTTTGAATTAAAGCTAACCTTCTCTGAGGAAGAACTCTGGCATTTACGAGCTGTGAGATCATGGACAAGTCACTTAACCGCTTTTAGCCTCAGTTTCCTCATCTGTAAAATGGGGATAGTAATATTTGTAGTAACTACCTCATAGACTATGGGTTTTAAATGGCATACACATACACGTATGCATGTACACATATATGCATATGTACCTTTTGTAATCTTTAAAACATCACCCATTACTTATTAGAATATGTGTTAGAAAGTGTGTTTTCTCTGAGGACTGAGTGGGCTTTGAGTTCAATCATTCACAAATCTTAATACTATCTGGCCGGCTTCAAATACTGTCACTAGATTTCTAGGGAAGGATGCTACCATTTCAAAGGCTTAGATTTCTCTCCCTAACAGAGGTTGCCTTGGAGAATTCCGGCAGAGATAGTAAGCACATCTACTGGTCTATGTCTGCATTATATTTTTTTTCTAAAATAGACAATAGGGAGATTCTTGTTAGCATTTTTATAAAGGAGGACCAAGAAGCTCAGAGAGGTTAAGCGGTTGCCTAATGTCATGCAGATACTAAGCAGTAGAGCTTGGATTTTGTACTTCTAACTCCAAGTTCAGGACTTTTCCCCCAACACCAGGCATGCTGCACTTTGGGGAAGAAACAGAAATATATGCAAGCAGCTCATGGGGACCAGAGTTAGTCTGTTGTGCTGGAAAGAACCTATTATTAGGGTCAGGAGCCCGTGTTTATGCCTAGGCTCAAACATTCTCTAGCTCTGTGACCCTAGGCAAATCACTGGACTTCTGAGATTGTTTCGTCATCTAGACAATGGGATAATCACACTTGAAACTACTTATCTTACAGGATTGCAGTGTGGAAAGTGCTTTATAAACTTTAAAGTACTATAGAACAGGAATTATTTCTATGTTTGGGTCACGGCTTAACATCTATAAGCATATAATGGAACGGCTTGATTTTTGTATCATTTTGGAGGAGATGGGATCCCTGTCTTTACCTGTTTTGAATTTATTTGCTTTCCTCGTGGCCTAGGAAGAAAGGAAGTTAAGTCAGTGACGAAGAATGCCAGTGGCACTCCCAAGACTAAGTAAATCACTAGATTTCCTGATGCACTAAGAATGGGCCTGGACTTGCAAATTGGTCCAAATCAAATACAGTCACCGTAGGCAACTGTAAATGATCCAGGCTTGGAATCAATAGAAGGCTGAGGGAAAACAGCAAGGCCCTTCTACCGAATATGTCCCCCCGGACCATGGAACCTCCCTGCTTCTCTGCATTAGAAGTAGCTGCCTAGACAAGATCAGAGATGTCTAGCAGTAAGATTCATGTACCACCACCAATAAATACTGATTACACTCAATGAAATACCTCAGATGTAAGAAGACCATACAAATAGGACAAAATTAAATTCTTATAAAGCAGACGGGAAATAGCTAATTGAAAACAGCCAATTCTTCCCTTCAAAAGAGTCATACTTGTCAATGCATTTGGTTGATAACCCCACGCACATAATCAGATGATTGCATTTTGTGGGTAACATAATTAAAGCAACAGTAGCTTGTTTCTCTCTTATGAAGTTTCTGAGGGAATGAACTTTCTAGTTCTGGAGGAAAAAGCTAACTCCACTAACATCACTGGGGGGCCTTATAAATATAGCAGGCAGCCCTAGGATTTGCAAAACGGAATATGTTTGCTGTCAAGAAACATACTTCCTTTGTCAATGGTATGTCTATCCCATTAGCCAATTTCTTGATTCAGCTGTAGAATCCCTCTGTAACTCTTCAAGATACCCAAGGGCTGTACCAGGTGGTACAGAAGCGGAGAAAGGGCATCAGAAAGGGCTCCAAGGTAGCTTCTTCCTCAGGAAGCTACTGAGACCCAGCAACTCATTTACTGGCTCCCCTGATAAGCACCTGTTGCATGGCTTAATCCCCATATTTTATGCCCATGGGGCTATAGTACTGGAGCCACTGAATGCCATTGGAGGAAGCAGCTTTGTAGTTATCCCTGGCTCAGGGGATACTGCAGTTCAGAATACTTCAATTCTTAAGGGAGTGGCAATTTCATCAGTTTGGGTAACCCATCCCTCTCTACCAATGTAGTCTGAAACCTCTTTAACATATTAACAGAGAGGGTCTTTGTGGATGGCTGAGGCTAAAAAATAATCCTTGTCTGGTGGCCAACCATCTGATGATGAGACACACTTGGATAGGCTGATCCTGACTGTCACTGGGAAAATGGGGTCCAGAATGAGGACAGTAAGAATGTGGATAAAAAATGAGGGATTACTGAAGTTAGTCTGTTTCTTAAATAGCTTCCCCTCCACCACCCTCATTTGGGTTCCCTTCCTTTCTCCAAGCACAACTAATTTTCTTGAAGGAAATTCTTAAATAAGATGGACATATTTTCTGTTGATAGCCACTCTGCTGGTGATACAAGAGCCAATTTGGTAACACTGCAGAACCAGAGAAGAATCCCAGATGGGCAAATCCAACTCCTGGAGAGGAAACCATGCCCAGCTCTCCTCTGCTCAGAGGAATCTGTTCCATAGGGAGTGGTGATGAAGCATCCAGTCCAGTGGTGTGAATGGTAATTGAGTTTTCCCTGGGCAAGAATTCCTTTGGCCAAGGAACCGCTTGAATTCAGGAATGACACCCTTTAGTTACATGTCTTCACTGTTGACTTTTTCAGGTCCATCTCTCCAGTGAAGAATTCGGTATTCTGCACAGAAATGTGTCTGCACAGAAAGATGGCCACCATTTTCACAAAACTGAGGCTCAGTTTGAAATTAGAGGTTAGTCTAAATAGCTCTCCTGAAAGAGCTCTCTAGGTACTGCATAGCTAACAATTACTGAGAAACTGAATGAACAGCTGTCTTCCCCGCCCAGCAGAAGTGAAACTGGATGCTGGTCTCCCTCACTCCCTCCCTATAACTGAACTTTGACTGTTGTTGACTTTGCTCTGAAACTGCTCGCCCACAAGGTCAAGCTTCTCTCACCAAAACTGTATTTTGTTTACAAAAATATTTCTACAGTATAAGGACCACAATAAAAAGCAAAAAACAAACAAAAAACAATCAGACCACATCTAGCTCAGTAAAGGTAAAAAAATGAAGCTGTTAATTCCTTAAAAGTCTGCCCTGCTCCAGCCTGAAACTGTTGAGAGGAGATTGTGGAATTAGGTCAGGGAAGGCTCTTCTACTACAGAGTATCACTTCACTTCACCAAGGGTTTTGGCTTAAACCAAGGGTTTCATTTGTGTTTAAGTCACAGCCTCAACACATTATATAGAGTAGGACACATGCTAAAAATGACTGGTTGCATATGGAAAAACAGCAAGTACCCCTCTTCAATTTATGCTCTACAGATTCCATAAAAGTATCTCAGGCAGAGGAGTCCTTTCTTTGGGTTCCTTGTTAGAACTAAGTCAAGATGTATATAGATTCAAATTTTCATTCACATAATGATACAAAAGCATTTGTAACTTCCCATACAGTAACTCTGATTAAAATGAAGAAGCAGATTAAACAATTATAGCAAAAGGTGCATAGATATGTTGGGTTGATTCACTCATCAAAGGACGCTGGCAGTTATGTGTCAAATACACACATACTCATCTTTCTTGCCTCTAACCTTATTGTTTTTGCTTTAAAAAGCATTTCCTTTTTCTCTTGCTGGACAAAAATACAAGATGCCTCCTTTCTGTATGTCTATATGTAAGTTTCCCTGTTCATCCTCCTTTGCTGTCTTCATTTTCATTATCAGGACTGGCAGGAGGGAGACTGTTGTTATACCAAACCAGACCAGGGAGTGGTATTCATTTGGTGTCATACAAGAGAATGGGATGGTTTAACTCCACAGTGAAAAGAATCAGCTAACCATCGCTCATCCTGTGTGAGATCTGAGTACTTAGGAACCAACCAAAAAAGAACAGGGATGTTTGCCCCATCTCCCTTAGAATGTGGGCTGGCAGGCACAGCTGGAGTGACATTCCAGTGACTGTAAAAGTGACTTCATGCTCAAAAATGGAAGTTGGAAAATAAACACGTGGATGACTCTATTCTTCATTGCTGGCACCCACTGCCACCACCCATCCTGGCTCTAAGGATAGGCTACTTTGCAGGAGCACAGCTGCCCAGTCATGTGTCAAGGACAAAGGTACATGCCCTTTCCCCAATCCTTTCAGAAAGAGGGTTCGTCATTGAAAGAGAGAGAATGGAGAGAGATCTAGGCAGCAGCTCATGATCCTCTTAACTGGAAAGAAAACAAACCAAAAAACATCACCTGGTAGACTTGGGAACACAATGGAATTTGATCACAAGGACTATTAGAAAGGCAAACTCCACTCACACAGAGCAGTACATGCTTATTAAAAAAAAAAAGACATCTTCAGTACACAATGAACCCTGGGGAGCCAGGGCTAAGCCTCTTGTATCCAGATGTAGCTCACTACTCTTGTGAGATTGGACAGCCTTAGAAGGGCAATGTGCGATGGTGCATTGTTGCAGGGTACTCCCATCTTGGGGGAACTTTGGATCTTAGCCTGGAAACCCAACCCCCATGAGGGAAATGCAGCAGCTCCTCCTCCAGGACAAGACACCAACAGAAGAATACAAAAGAAGAATGATCAGAAACCAACAAAAGAGTGACCCCAAACATCAAGGTTTCTTCAGGTTTTGTTGTCATCGTACATGTCCAAGGAAGGCTCAATCATGGAGAATTCGCTCTCGTAAACCAGGCTTCGAGGGGACAAAGAGTTCCGATGAAAGAAGTGCCCACCTAAAAAATAAAAGAAAGCAGAGCAAAAAGATTTGATCAGAAAGTAGGCATAAATGTCACAGGGACAGAGGGGAGAAAGAGAAATGTACTCTCACTGAAGCATTACGTTAGTTCAAATATCCATTTCGGTTGCTTTTCACATGGGGACAACACAGAACCTATCTACACCAATACGATGTAAGCATACCTGCTACATTCACGACCCAATAGGTCACAAAGACTGCTGACTCACAGAAGCGCTGTGATCTCTGTTGGAGGACAGAATGATCACATTGATAGAATCAGAGCACCTTTAAGTAAAAGACATATGCTAAAATCTCTAAGTCAGGGGGTGACCATTCAGCTTTACAAAAAGATTTATCCTTGCACCCCTTTAAACAACAAGCTTCTCTAGTGCCTTCAACACAATTCAATTCATAAATAAGGTTTACTCACATAACTTTTCTCGCATACATGGATCATGTAACGTGTACCACATATATTACATTTTTGTTTCACCAAGTAGCAACTTTCAACATGCTTCAAAGGAGATACTGGGACTAACATTGTATCTGTTTCTGTTATCCTAATAACTGGGTGAATGGGAATACTGATATTGGCTCTTTTTGTTATCATTATTTTTTTAAAGACTGTATCTCTCTACTATCTTGCCCAGTCTAGAAGTGTAGAGCTACTCATGGGTCCAATCCCATCACTGCCTGGTATGGGAGCCTTGACTTGCTGTTTCTGACCTGGGCTGGTTTGCTTCTCTTTAGGCAACTTGGTGGTCTCCTGCTACTCTTTTAATGCTGAACTTAGGGCAGACACCTGATCAGCATAACCCATCAAAGTTGAGAACAGCTATACTCAAGAGATCTGCCAGCATCAGGCTCCTCCCCCCTCCTTCCCTCTGGTAGCTGGCATGTACAGGAGTATGCCATTACCTCTAGCCTGTCATCGCTTCTAGCACCAGCTATGTTTTGCATTTCCTGTCCTTCAGTTTACAAAGTGAGTTTATACAGAACTGAGAAGAAAGCTCTTTAATGAAGTTGAAGGTCTTGCTGCTTCTCTTTTAGATCTATCAGAGTAATTACTGTGCATGAACCATTTTTTCTCTTGGCCTAGTCTGGGAGACTGCACACTATAACCCAAACACAATCTCAAGACACTTGCCCTTATATTAAAGAATATAGTTTCCACTGGCAATATCAAGGGAAAAATGACATTTCCATACATATGTTATTGTGTATGTTTAGTATTCAACGTGAAGAATTAAATGCTTAACAATGATTCCTTCAATGTTTAAAAGTCTACAAAGATAGATTGTCTTTTCCCAATCATGACAGAAACAATCAAACTGCTTTAGCCCTTTGAGACGTCTGCTTTGAGGGATATGCAATCTCATCGGGGTGGGTAGTCGTTTCACTGATGCATATTATAACATTATTCTGTGTATTTTCTGTTCTTGTCTTTCCATAAATTTTCCACCAAGGGACCACTCAATGCTGAAGGTCTTCCTCTGGTTCTTTTATTATTTTACGGATACCAGTATAGTACTCGGGCTGTCCACTCTTCACTTTTGCCCTTCTACCTCATTTTCTGGTCATATACACCCTTCATGACATCATTTACATTATGTCTCATGTGCAAGTCATTTTTGGTAATGTCTGAGAGGTCATCAGACAAAAATCTGGAGTAAATCAGAACATATCATATATAGCTTTTGGAGCTGGCTCCAAGTATAAGGTACATCTTGGCTATGTATACGAAGGCACTTACACCCCAAGGTAGAGTGGAGGACTCCTATAGGATTCACTACCAGTTGTAAGTACTAGTTAGTGAGGACCAAAGCCAGGATCAATATACATCTCCCAAGACTTTTTTTTTTTTTTGGCATGCTCAACTTTTGAAACAAAGTCTAACCATGAAGATCTTATTTAGTAACCTATACTGTAATCTTTCAATTGGGCAGTTGATGTGTACGAGAAGAAAATAATTTCCTTGTATTTCCCAGGGATGGAGCAAGTGGATAAATTTTACAGGGAGAGGTGGGAGGTTTTATCAGGAAGCACAGACTATTTTTAGGTCCAAGAAAATATTGCAATGAGTACAGATCAAACTAAAGATTTCATGCTTGGTTTATCTTTAGTAGCTTAGCTTTATGGAACTGCATACTGTGGAACTTATAATAAAAATCATGAGGTTAGTAAGGCTGCAAGTATGCAAAGTGCAAGTGCAAGTAAGTCTCCAGATTATATGCCATATAGTGCTTCAATACATTGGCTATTTTGAGAATTTAGGGTCTTCATAAAAGCAACGGGCCCTTTCAAACTTAATCACCTAGATGCAGGGGTCCTAATAGACAATCTATAAATGGTATTTATTACAAATTTTGGACAATGAAACTACTAATTGTATATACCATTTTCTTATTTTAGACTCTAAGATGAAAAAAAAAACGGCAACACCAGTTTGCATCCAGTGGGAGAACGGTTCCCATCCAGAATCTGTCGTAGCATTGCTATGCATCTATACAACCTAAAACATGAAGAATTAACATCCCAAAACAGCTCAAGGCCTTTTTGAAGACCCTACATATCCTACTCTTTACTCTGCTGAAGAGAGCAAGAAAACTAAAGAGAATGTCATCTACCTCATCTTTTCTTCAGATATTTTTCTAGAGATTTTCTATTTTGGCACGTTAAGTATATTCCTGACAACCAAAACCTACAATGAAATAGGGTAGCTTATACAGGACACAAGGATTTCCGGAGGTTTAAATCAACTGCAATCAACCGGCCTAAGAAACTTCCACAATTCCCCAATCCCTGACTAAACACAAAAGATTTGTTACATTTAAAAGTCCCTTCCTTCGTGGAAATCTTGTTTATATTTGATTTGACAACTCCCTTCCCCCATTATTGCCTTATCTGAAAGCATAGACTCTACTGCACCTTCAAAATGTCATCAGTCTTTTGGTGCTCTTGAAGCCCACCTAAGGTACAGTTATATCTGCCTAGGCACAATGTGGTTTGGGTCCAACATTCTAGGCCCTTGGCCTGAAACATGTTGGCTAAAATAATTGACATTTAAAAGTAAGTATTTTTTTAAACAGAGGCCTAATTTGGGCCTTGTTCTGTGAAGCCCTGTGGTTAGGGGGCCATCTAAGACCCACCTAGGGGTGGTGGTGATGGTGGCACTGTCTTGCATGTATTTAACCTGTCGATTGGCCATACGGCCACTTATTTCATTCTCCTGGTGAACTTTCCCAGAGCATGACTTCCCATGGCAGTGCTTCTTTCTTTCTGCAGAGCCTGAAAGATTCAGTTCTTGATCTTTTTTGCACCAAAATTCAGAAAAAGTTGAAGCTGGCAAAAATAACAATAACTCACATTTCTATGTGATTTAAAGTGTACAAAGTGTTTTCCTCACAATTCTGTGAAGTAGAGTAAGACACTCCCATTTTAGATGAAGAAATAAATGCCTATGGACAAAAAAAAAAAAGATCGAAAAGGACTGGCTACAGGAATTTGTCATGGCTAGTTTGAAGAGAAGCCTTAGGGGGAAGGTAACATGATTGCTAACTACCTGCACGTTTGTCATCTGGAAGAGGGATTGTAGATTTAGAGCTAGAAGAGACCTTTGAGGTCATCTAGTCCAATCCCCATCTTTTTAAACATGAGGTCTAGAGAGTTTAAGTAACTTGTCCAAAATTACATAGTTATTAAGTGGCACACCCAGAATTTGAACCCAGGTCCTTTGACCCCAAATCCAGCACTCTTTCTATTCTAACAGACTGCCTTGGAGATGTTTTGCTTAGCTCTGGTGGGTAGCTCTAGAAACCATGGCATAAATTGCAGAGGGGAAAATGTCAAGTTGGTGGGGAAAATCTTCCTAAAAATTACAGCTGTCTAAAAGTGGAAAGGCCTCAAGACATAGCGGATCTGCCATCCCTTGAAGACTTCAAGCAAAAGGCGCACGCCTACTTGTAATGCTGTAGGGCAGTCATGTCAAACTCAGCTAGAAATGGACCACCTATCCACACATGAGGAAGTAGCCTCTGCAGCTGCATACTGACTTAGTTTTAAAATGTAATGCTATGTTTTGTTGTATTTTTATTTATTTTATTAGCTATTTCCCAATTGCACTTTAATATGGTTCGGGCTGCACGTTTGCTGCCTCTGCTCCAGAGGTTCTGCTGTACAGTTGGACTAGATAACTTTGGAGTTGATGATCTGGGCCTTACCAAAGCCACATATTTCAGCTGCATACAAGCTAAGAAATCATGACAATAGTTTCTTAATTCGACCTTAAACCTCTATGGTCACAATCTCATTGCCAACCTGTCAAACCCATTAATGCAGGGCCCACATCCTAATTATTTTTTAACTCCACTATCACTGGGCACAGTGCACTGCCCTGATAAGTGAATTCATTTGTTAGAGAAATGACATTTCATCCTCTCCTGATTCACTTTAATTATATGAGGCTGCTGATTGGGATAAATTGACCCCCCCCCCCCCCCCCCCCCCCCCCGTGAACCCTGTGTAACATTACAACTTCTCAGTATAGGCACACCATGCAAGAGCACCCTTTCCTGGCAAAAGACTACTCCTTTTTCAAACATCGTAGTTTGCAAGTTATCTAGTCCTAAACTGTGCTAGGTGAAAGTCTCTACCAGCTGCGCCTTCAGATCAGAAACAATTTTGTGTTAAATGGATATTTAATTCTCTCACTTAAAAATGTTAATAATTATTGAACCTCACACATTTTGGTTCTAATTATAAGGCTGCCTTCTCAACTGATGGCATCTCATCTGTTCTGAATTAAGCAACAGTATTTGGATGTAGATTTTGGCTGCTATCTGGAATTCCCATGGTGCCAATTCAAAAAATCTATCTCCATTACATTTTAAAAATTAAATTCTATCTCCCAAAAAGTTTTCTTGGCTACTTGAAAACTAGAATAAGCAAAAACTAAAAGCCTGATAACACATTAAAAAACCCAAGAAGCAGCTGTGG